ATTCCTGCGTACCATCCCATGTCACGATCAAACCCCTCCGGCTGGGCCATGCATTTGACCGTTCTGTGCTAGACGTTTCTTAGGCGCTAGAAGGGCTTAAGACAGCCTGTTCCCACAGACAGGCTATCAGCCAGCTTTCTTTGAAAGGCCTGCCAACTTAGAGGGCAGATTATGGCCTGCTTGAAAGCATTAACGAAGCACTAGTCGTTATCTTGTCATTCTTTTACTTCACCTCTCAGGTACTTTTGGTCCAGTACATTTAGGCTCCCCAGATGTGAAGAGGATGGGCCAAATCCTTTTCGACCTGGTTACAATTTTACATGTCTTTTAAAGGCGCAGCCAAGTTGAGCTCATTTGGGATCGTACCGGCATTTTGGTTATCGTTTGAAGCATCGTTATTCACCAGCTGTTGTCGCTCACCCTTTTAACAGCTGCTGTAGAACTGGCTGACGGCGCACCCAATCCTCCCGAAGTGACACGCCCCACCATCTGCAGCGAATAAAGCTATATACAATAACTTGCGGGGTTCAACTAGTATCATGAAGAAATCGGTGTTCCCAGACGCATCTCTTTGCAAAGTGAGTAGCACCGAAGAAACGCAGGCCTTGAATCATCCGGGCAGGAGTCGATCCAAGATGTCACTCCCCCCCCCCCTGCCGACTGTCACCCTCTTGCCACTACGCAACTTCCGCCCTCTGTTTATGATTATCAGATCGATTTACTTGTATTTCATTTGTAAATGGCAATCTTATGGACATTCCAGGATATCATACTGTATGGGAAGTTACACCAGCACTTCATTCTCCTCTGATGTCAGTAACAAATGCGATCTCGGGAACAACCGCTGCGGGAGCTCTTTGCCTTATGGGAGGTAAGGAATTTTTTATGCAAAATTTTTTAATGAAAACTGCTATCTCCAGAAGATTGTTACAGTTTCTTGCCTGCTCTGTTCACTTTCGGTTTCAGGTGGTCTTTGGCCAACAAACTCTGCACAGGCTCTTGCACTAGGAGCTGCTTTCATCTCTTCAATCAATATTGGTGGAGGATTTCTGATCACAAAGCGCATGCTGGATATGTTCAAACGAGCAGGTTGTCCTTGTGTGATTTCTTTTTTTTAATTACCAAAATATTTCCTCTCTATTAGCTCAGATTACTTGCAATATCGATATTGTGGTCATCGAAAGCGATCATCGATTTTTCATTTGACGCGCTGCGCTGGCAGATAGCTGCCATGCCACGCCCAACTTTAGGCCTGTAAGCATGAAGACAAACTATTAATTATAGCAGTTTCTACAGGAGATCCACCAGAGTACAACTACATGTACGCTGTACCAGCTGCATTATTCCTTGGAGGCTATTACTACGGTTTACACACGGTAAGCGCATATTGCTAAGTAACTTGAATCAATCCTTCTGTACAGTTCTAGTGCCTGCAACCGATAGGGCGTGTGACGGGACATGAATTGGAGCGCTGCCAAAGCGCCCTTTCCATCAATGATACCGTGCTGAGTTCACAACGCTTAGCTGAAATGACTGTTTTGGCTGCAGTCCAACTCAGCCCCTTTACACGCCCTATCTTTTGCAGGGATC